AATTGGTCAATATCACATTTTGTAAAGTTACATAAGTTCCGTTTACAGTGTTCTAATTGGTCAATATCACATTTTGTAAAGTTACATAAGTTCCGTTTACAATGTTCTAGTTAGCCAGTCTGGTGATAGTTATGTAGATAGAACATGAAGGACTGCCAAGCAATTTAGACTTTTTTCAAATTAAGCTTAATAATCTTACCCATGTTCTGTCCCATCATGGAATCTACCCCCACATCTGTTGCTTTCCTTTTCCGAGGCCTGCCTTTCCTGACATTTCCCATGGGTGGGTAGCTCGAGTCGTGGGGCTGCACATGCTCGCTAGGCTGGTCTCCAATAGTACCGTTTGTTCTCCGATCCGTTGGCAGGTAGGGCTCACCCTGCACGAGGAGTTCGTAGTGTGTGCGGCAATAAACAAGGTTATCTTTCAGTCCGAAGTAGTCTCCTTGGGTAAGAACTGTGTTACACCACGCACATGTGAAACAATGTAGATGATACACCAAGTCTCGAGCTCGCATAACTAGCTCATTGGCGAAAATACCTTGTTGACAGCGGGCACAGCGTTTGACAGCGAACAACCTAGTGGAAGTCAGAACATGATTATACTTGAACAACTTGGTGGAAAACGAAACATAACAGTTATATTTACACCATGAAAAATTAAACAGAACATAATCATTGTACTTACAATACCCTTAACAACCAGATGGAAGATGAAATATAATCATTTTATTTACACCATGAAGAACCTAGTGGAAAACAAAACATAATCATTATTCTTACGCCCGAACAACCAAGTGGAAAACAAAACATAATCATTATAATTACATCTCAAATATAGTGGAAAACAAACCGTAATGAACATATTTACACCATGAACAACCTAGTGGAAAACAAAACGTAATCGTTATTTATTTACGCCTTGAACAAATGAGTGAAAAACAACTCATAATAATTAGACTTTCAACACCTTAAACAATGTAGTGGAAGTTAAAACATAACCCTGAACAACCTAGTGGAAGACAAAATATAATCATTATGTATTTACGCCCGAACAACCAAGTACAAAACAAATAATAATTAGACTTACAACACTTTAAACAATGTGGTGGATGTCAAAACATAATCATTAAACATAAACCCTGAACAATCTGATGGAGACGAAAAACAACAATAATTAGACTTTTAACCCTGAACAATTAAGTGCAGAACAAAATATTGTTGTTGAACGTAAAACACCCTGATGAAAAATGACAATCTCAATAAAAATACTGGGGTTCATAGTCTGCATAAAAATTTAAATTTACTGCTAAATGTTATTGTTTTAAAAATCAATCATGGTTAAAATTCTAAGACTTATGATTTTCAAATTTATACAAATATAAAGTTCATTTGTCCAGATGAACGGTTCGTATCAGAAGGTTCACAGTAGTAGAAGGAAGTACCATTTATTAAAGCATTATTCCCATTTAATTTAGGCATTGCTGGGTATACCTTTATTAGTGAAAACTAACACACAAAGGTTTACCTTGAAACTGAATATGTATGTGAATGTGATATAAGTATTTTTTTGTATTTATAACACAGTAACAATAGTGGTGTGATATAAGTATTTTTGTATCTATAATACAGCAACAATAGTGGTGTGATATTAGTATTTTTTGTATCTATGATACAGCAACAATAGTACTGTGACATAAGTATTTTTTGTATTTATAATACAGCAATAATAGTGGTGTGATATAAGTATTTTTTGTATCTATGATACAGCAACAATAGTGGTGTGATATTAGTATTTTTTGTATCTATGATACAGCAACAATAGTACTGTGACATAAGTATTTTTTGTATTTATAATACAGCAACAATAGTGGTGTGATATAAGTATTTTTTGTATTTATAATACAGCAAC